GCTTCCTTAACAGGAATGCAATAATTTACTTTCTGTTGCTTGTTACAATTAAATGGCTAGTGAAATTATCAGTAGTACTTTTGTAAAATAAAATTTGTGAGAATTATTATATCTTCCCACAGGGTTAAGTCTTTCTTTGTCTGCAGAATTAGCTGTGTGTTCCCCTTTGAGCCTCAGTGTGATTATTTTTGTTTTGTTGAGGTGAGTTGGCATCTGTGCTACTGTCCCATCCCATTTAGTGTGCTCCTGCTATCCTGCTAGGCTGACGGGTATAGCCATATATCCAGAGCACATACTCAACAACACTGAAAACATGAAATCTAAGCGGCAACCACTGGAACTTCATATGGTGTCTGTCAAGTTGACTGGCAGGAATGGGTGGGAGTGAGGAGAAAATATAGGAATCCTGGTGGAGGGGAAATTAACACTGTGGTGGATTGGCTTGAAATATTAAATGCCTAAAGCCCAAAAGAAAAAGGAGTTCCATCTTTCCTTCCTCCCCCGCTCCCATCCATCTGCCGAGGTTGGTTATGCTGTGTGGCATGGCACCCAAGGTTGTGGGACCCACTTGCCATGTGGCTGTGGTGCCAGTGCACCAGGCCGGGGCCCCCAGCCGCCCTCTCTTTTCTCTGACCTAGGGGCAGTCTGTAACTCCAGGTGCAGCATCTCACATCGCACACGTGTGGCACCAGGGACTCCCAAGGTCATGGCCACAGGACCACTATGGGTGACGTGGGGTGGTGCAGAGGGTGCCCGCCGTTTTCTCTGATGCTCATGCCAGGCAGATGCTCCCCCTTCAGGGAACAGCAGCCCCTCCTCTGTGTTCTCTGCCTGCCCTCCTGGGCTCTGCTGCCAGCTGGGGTTTTCCTTTGTTTCTGAGTCTGGGGTGGCAGGGGGATAACAGAAGGAACTCATACACAGTGTCGCCAGCTGCCCTTCTCACTTGGAGTCACTTCCATCCTTCAGTCCTGCAGCAAATGGATATCAGGCTGCCCGCTGGTGGATGGGGTGGGGACAGGGGTGCTAGGGTTCAACGTTTGGTTCCATGCTTGCTTTGTTGTGGTCCAGAATTCCATGCCCCCAGCCGCCCTCTCTCCTCTCTGACCTAGGGGCAGTCTGTAACTCCAGGTTCCCCTGCAGTCAGGACACTTGGTGTGTGCCTGGTGCCCCATGCATCCTGCCCCCTACCCCCTGTCCTACTCACATACCTTCAACCTGGCTGCATTTGTCTGTCCTGCATACAGGCTGAGCGAGGGTGAGACCTTTGCCTGGTTTCTGGCTATTTTAATGTGGAGTTTTGTTTGGCAGAGTCTGCTCTACCTTGATTGTAGTTGCCGCTTTAAAAAAAAATAGATTTGGAAACCGAGTATCAAAGTGGTACTTTAGGTTATGCAGACAGACCATTAGCTATGAAACCTCAGCTTGATAATTCCCAGTTAAAACTGATTTCCCATCTCATGTTGCATTTGTTTATCCAGTACTTATTATTTGGATGCCTCTTAAATAGAAATATTTACTGTGCGCAGTTTTTCTTTTGAATGAGAAGTAACAAAAACTTTCTGGTCTGTTACTGCATTTGTAAATACTTAGTGATATATACTTTATTGCAAACCATAATGCCTAAAATGGGTGAGAAAAGAAAGAGAGAGGAGAGCTGCTTGCCATAGAGGCAGGCGGGAGTGGGGTAGGGGTTGGAGGAGCTTAAAGGGGTGGGAGGGAAAATGGGGACACTGGGAAATTACACTGGTGGGGGATGGGTGTTGAAACATTGTATCACTGGAATGCAATCATGAACAGCTTTGTAAAAAAACAAATCACTTAAATCGCTTAACTTCCCGTTAGTCGTGGATTTGCTCGAGCAGGCGTCAGTAACGTCTCCATTTGTCCCTGTCACCTGCTAGTGTAGCCCAATGGCATCTGTTCGCTCTGGGAACATGAAGAGCCCCAAACCGATCGTTCATGATCTTGATGAAGTCTGACCATCTGGTAGGTGGGCGGCCACGCGGTCTTTTGACATCCCGTGGGATCCAGTCGGTAACAGCTCTAGTCCAGCGGTCGTCTTTAAATCTCATTACGTGACCAGCCCATCTGATTTTTGACACCAGGGCAAACGAGACAGCGTCCCTGATTCTTGATCGTCGACGGATTTCGGAACTCCGGATTCTTTCTCTCATTTGAGTGAAACGTGATATTCCAAGCATAGCTCTTTTAATTCCTCTTTGGGAGACCCGAATAGCATTCTCATCCTGTTTACGTAGGGCCCAGGTCTCTGAGGCATATGTTAATGCAGGAAGAACAGTGAAATCAGAGTTGTGCCCAGAGCCGGAGGTTCTTCGTCCTTTTAGCTATTTCTTCGACGTTCTTGAAGGCGTTCCAAGCCGCTCTCTTCCTCCTGCGCAGCTCGGGTGCCAGGTCATTTGTCATGTTGACTTCTCGACCTAGGTACACATAGCTGTTGCATTCGGAGATGGTCGTTCCGTTGAGAGCGAATGGGGCATCAGGAACGAGGCTGTTTCTCATAAACATTGTCTTCATAAGATTCAGCTGTAGTCCGACCTTTCCACACTCACGGTCAAAGTCGGCCAGCATTTGTGCCACTTGGCTGATGTTTGGTGTTATTAAAACAATGTCATCAGCAAAGCGGAGGTGGTGTAGTTGCCAACCATCTATCTTCACTCCCATTCCTTCCCATTCCAGTCGTCGCATGATATTCTCGAGGGTGGCACTGAAGAGTTTCGGTGAAATGATATCACCCTGCCAAACCCCTCTCTTGACTTTGTTGTAGTATGATGAGATCCTGGTAGTGAATCCGCAATACAGCTCACAGAGGATCTTGATGTATTGGGCTTGAATGCCCTGATTGGCTAGGGCTTCAATGACCGCTTCCGTCTCAACAGAATCAAAGGCCTTCTTTAAATCAATGAACGTTAAACAGAGCGGCATCTTGAACTCCCAAGAAACCTCAATGAGCTTGGTTATCGTGTGGATATGGTCGATGGTGCTGAATCCTTTGCGGAACCCGGCTTGCTTGCATGGTTGTCCTTCATCTAGTGTTCTGCCAATCCTATTTAGGATGACTCGAGTGAACAACTTGTAGATGACAGACAATAGGCAGATCGGGTGATAATTACCAATGCCGTGGATGTCTCCCTTCTTATAGAGTAGTACAGTCCTGCTGGTTTTCCATTGGGATGGAACCTTGCATTCAGACAGGTAGCATGTGAAGAGCTGAGCCAGTGTATTAATGAGCACCAATGGCAGATTCTTCAGGTGTTCAGGTCTGACCTTGTCTGGGCCAGGTGCTGTTTGCCTCTTTACCGACGAAATGGCGTGTCGGATTTTGGAAGGGAGAATGTTGGGAACTACATATCCATCCTGTGGAATTTAGTATGTGTACAGGTGGACGTGGCTGTCGAAGAGATCCGAGAAGTCATGGATAATATTCTCCATGGCCCTTCTGAAAGATGTGATAGATCCATCAAGATGTCAGAGGGCAGTCATTTAATCTTGTAGTTGGTGAAGGACAGGCCGGCGTTGTGAATGCTTTTCCCAGCTTCTGCCGCATCTACCAGCACTGCTGCTCTTCTCTCTTTGAGGTCTTCCGTTATTGCTTCTTTGCACTGCTTTGCAAGCTCAGACATTTGCTTGCGGTTGCCTGAGGCTTGCACCAAGCCACGCTGGCAAATAAGCTCAAGAGTTTTCGAAGACAGGCATTTTTTTGTGGCTATCTCTCTCTTGGCATTCCTCACAGAATCATGGAGGTGCTGAACCAGTCGATTGTATTCCTTGTCAATGTTGTCAATGATGCATCTTCCCATGTTGCTGTAATAGTGCCAAAGAGCTCCCAGTTGATGGTCATTCTGGGAGTTCTCTTAAACTTTGCAGCCCTTTCTCCCCGCTCTGTGAAGTAAAATTTTGCATGAAGGAGACGGTAGTCCGATCCCATTTGGAATTTTGGGACAACAGCAACGTGGGTCAGGCAAAACTGTCGATTGAATATGATGTGGTCAATTTCGTTGTGGAACCATTCACTGGGAGACTCCCATGTCCAATGTTTAGATTCAGCCTTCTGGAATTGTGAGTTACCATGAATGGTCTTGATCAACATGATGAATTCAGTCTCTCACCCTGTTCATTCTATTCTGGACCATGGGTCCCGATGTGGATTTCTTTGGCTGATCTTCTCAGTCCTATTTTGGCATTAAAGTCACCGACAATTAAAGAAGGTGTGGTCTTTTTTTTTATAGAACTTCTCTAGCTCCATGTAGAACTTCTCAATATCTCCTTCATCATAATTGGATGTTGGTGCATAAACAACGAAGATATCAACTGCCGGCAGTGAGCCACATCTATTCAAGTGTAATCCGATTCAGGTTGTTAGGCGTTCGAATGAATCAATGTTTATGGCCAAGTTTGTGTTGACAAGGACACCGACACCACTGACGCCTCTTTTGTCACATGTTCTGAGGAACAGTTCTTCCCCAGTGTCGAAAATGGCGTGATGTGATTGATGCCTTCTCATCTCAGTCAGACCAGTGTTGTTGTACTTGATCTTTCGCGCTTGACCATCAGGTCCTCCATGGATGCATCTGATGCCAGCATACATGCATTGAAAGTACAGACAGTCATTTTTGTCCTTCTTCGTTGTGGCAGCCTCGGTCGACCGAGATTTTATCAGCCTCTCCTTCCTTATCTTTCTTAATGCTGCCATACTGGTGACTCTTTCAGGGTCAGGGGAATGAGACCCATTGTATTTACTGGTTTTGGCATATTGGATACCCCACGGATAACTTGCCAGGCTCTGCCATGCAGGCGGGATACTCTTGGTAGCTTGCCAGGCTCTCTGAGTGGGATAGAGACTTTTCGGGTGGCTTCTAATTGCCCTTGTAAGTGTTCCCATGGTTCAAACAATATTTGAACCCTATCAAAAACAATTTTAAAAATTTTAATTTTAAAAATTTAATGAGAAACACAAAAACATGATTTTCTTTCTTTCCCAGACAGATATTGATTATGTGAACCATGTTGTAGACTCCTTGGAAAAAGAGTAAGTTATTTCATTTATTTTCAGAATTTTTATTTTAGGCACCTTGATTTACAATACTGATAATGGCAAAAAGTGTTCCAACCCTACAGCCTCCACCAGTGTCAGCTACCCTCCACCTGCCCCACTGGCCCTGGCTAAAGACCAGTTTCCCATTAAAGACCAGTTTTCAGTTTCTTTGTGTCTTTACTCAGTTACTTTATATCCCACAGATGAGAGAGATCATTCTGTGATGGTGTTTGTCCCTCTCCTTACTAACTTCACTCAGCACCATCCTCACAGCCCACAGTTGCTTTGTTTTCATTTTTCCTTACAGCTGAATGGTACTCCATTGTGTATATGTACCAGAGAGTAAGTTACTCATACTGGACATGAGTTATTTTTTTATTTACTGTCTCACTTGGCATTTTACTAAAAGAAACATTATCTAGTTTATTTTATAATTTATGAATAAACTATAGTCTATATGTAGTCTATAATTGTAGATTGGAATTATATCAGGGTAACTTCAGTCTAGTTTTTGCTTATTTAGACCATAAACTGTAGTTAATAGTTTATGCTTATATTTTGTAATGGAAATTTCACTGAATGAATTGTAATTGGTCTTGATAGGTACATATATAAATGAGTGCATATATAAATATGCACATAAATAAAAATCATTATAGAAAGTTTGAATATATTATGTATGTATATAGTATGCTTTAAAGTCTTCAATCTTGAAGATAGGAATTATATGAAACTTCTTAAAGCTCTCACCCTCTGTTTATTAAGCAAACTTTCTATTTCTGTCATGTGTTTCAAAACTCAGTGCTAAACCATGTCTAAAGTTGTTCTTTGCTATTCTGCAGAGATTTTATAACAGTTTGCTGTGAGCAAGTCACTTAGGTTAGTAAGAAACAGAAGCTAAAGAAAGTGCAGGTGCCATTGGTTTTTCTAAGACTGCTTTAGTAGACTGGGGAGGGACAGCATACAAACTGGGCCTCATGAATCTCTTCGTTGAATTCGATGTTTTTGTAACTGAACATATCACCTATTTGAAGAGAGAAGTAACAGTTATTTGACAGTTCTATGTGTAAAATAATGTGACTCTGCCTTGTCTATCAAAGTGCTAAAACCCAATCTTGAAACTATGCAGATCTCAGGACTAAATTGCGTTTGTTAGAGTCTTCCTCCAGTGCTCAACTTTAATTGAGACAATTTCTGAGAACTTTAGAAGCGCAGTCCCTTCTGTTAGCCTAGGATTTCTATGCTGCAGGAGAAATTCCTGGTAATGGCTGTTCATGCTGTGATTAGAGCATTATTTATTTATTTTTAAGACATTAGCTATTAAAACAGTATTTCACAATATTTCCTGTTAAGTAAAATCAATGATGTGGCCATAACAGCTAACTTTTCTCATGATAGATTTCCTAAAGAAATTAATTCTGGTTTGTTGGAAGTAGTGTCACCTCCTGAAAGCTATTACCCTGACCTGACAAACTTAAAGGAAACATTTGGAGACTCCAAAGAGAGAGTTCGGTGAGTCCATGTTGTTGAAAATTCCCTACCTTGAAATGGAAGAGAAGTTGTTAAATGTGGTTCTTTTTTAAAAAATCAAAGATTAATCAATTGTAGTGTTGAACTCATTTGGAGAGTTGTTGAATTTTTCTCTGTTGGAAACTCGGATGGAGTTTCTGATTAGAGGTCGAATTTGACCCACTTGATTTTTATAACTGTGCTTTTTATGATGTTACCTTTCTAAAACATGTTTTCAAGGGTGTGGAGAAATAGTCAGGGGAAAGTCACTTGCCTGGCACTTAGCTGACCATGCTCAATTCCCAGCACTGCATGTGCTCTCCAGAGCCCCACCAGGAGTGATCTCTGAGCACAGAGCCAGGAGAAAGCCCTGAGCAGAGCCAGGTGTGGCCCTCAGCCTGCCACTCCCCACTCCTGGGGCCAGGGAGATGGCTGGGTACATTCTTTGCAGGCTGGAGCCCTGGGTTTATCTCCTGAGCACTGCAGGAGTGACCCCGAGCTTTGGACTGGGAGTAGCCCCTGATCATCACCTGTTGTGGACCAAAAACATAGAGAGAGAGAGAGAGAGAGAGAGAGAGAGAGAGAGAGAGAGAATAGTACTCAATGTAACTCAGAAGTTAGTCCAGATGGAAACTTCTTATTTATATGCAACTGATTCAATAAAAGTGATGAAAAAACATTAATAGAGTTCTTCCATTAATACAGTTCTGTTAATTACTACAATGCAATTAACTTGATTATCATTTATATTTTAAAATTATAGGGAAAACTTTCATTGGGTTGTTGCTAAAAACAAAGTAAAATATATGGAAATCAATTTTGGAATCTCCATAAGCATAAAGAGAGAATAGTATTTTGAGAAAAGATGTTCTGTATTTCTTTCTTTCTTTTTTTTTTTGTATTTTGTTTGTTTTTGGCTTTTTGGGTCACACTCGGCTGTGTTAGGGGTTCCTCCTGGAACCCCTCAGGAACCACTCAGGAACCACTCTTGGCAATGCTGGGGGACCAAATGGGATGATGGGGATTGAACCCAGGTCAGCTGCGTGCCAGGCAAGTGCCCTCTGCACTGTACCATTGCTCGGGCCCCTGATTTGTATTTCTTGAGATGTCTGTTTATCCCAAAGACAGACATGTCCACATGATTTGTTTTATCTCAGTAAATGTATTTCTCTTTGTGGGGCTGCACAACACCTGGCTTCCTCCTGGCTCTGCACTCAGGGATCACTCCTCGTAGTGCTTGAAGCACTTTATGGGGTGCCTGGGATGGAACAGGATTGGCTGCATGCAAGCCGAGTACCTTGGCCTCTGTCTCTATCTCTGTCTCTGTCTCTGTCTATCTGTCTGTCTGTCTGTCTTTCTCTCTCTCTCTCTCCTCCTCCCTCGCTCCCTCCTTCCTTCCTTCCTTCCTTATCTCCCTCCTCTTCTCTCCCTCTTTCCTCCCCCTTCCCTCTTTCTTTCTCTCTCCCTTTCTCCCTTTCCCCTCCCCTCCACCCACCTCTGTTTATGCTTTTTAAAATTTAAAGGTGAAATTGTAACTTTCAGAGTAATGTCATTATATTTAGGACAGCTTTGTAATATAGATCTGGAAAGTGTGTACTTAGATTTCAGAGTCTCGTTTTACTGTATTTTTGTTTCTCTTGGGGGGCATACCTAGCTGTGCTCAGGGATCACTCCTGGCAGGGCTCGGGGGAGCATCTTGGGTATCGGGGATGAATCTGGGTCTGCCGCATGCAAGGCAAGTGCCCTCCCTATTGTACTATCACTCTGGCCCCTTTACTGTATTTTTTTAAAATAACTTTGAGAACTACTTCTGATAGTTATGCTAATGTGTTTCTGTAAGATATCTGGAATATATCTGGAGTTAATTGAAAGAATTTAATTTTGTAAAGTTAAATTTGTTTTGCCAGGTATTTTTTTTCCCTCTGGAGAGCCCCTTCTAGGAGATTCTCAGCCTACCAGGCAATTCTGGGTGGGCATGTGGTGGGCCTTGAAGTGGATAGCTTCGTACAGGGCCCTCCCAGTGCTGGCTGCCTCTCTTCTCTACCTCTGTGGATATTGGTGCATGAGACTGTGCCTGTCGTAATACAGAGTATAGTCCTCACACCAGAACACTGATCCCTTGCACCTGTTCCAGAATCATTGAGATACTACTGAAAAAAGAGGCAAGGCATTTTGGAAAGAACTGCATTAAAAATATTTTTCCAGGGCCAGCGGAGAGCTCAGGAGGTAAGGCACTTGCCTTGTGACCTCAGCTCAGGTAAATCCCCTGGGCTCCCCCAAGCCCTGGGTGGGGAGGGGGTGTCACTTCCCTGAACAGAGCCACAAGGAAGCCCTGAGCATGGCCAGCTGTGGACCCTGATCACCCTCCCATCCCCTGACTAAATACTTTTCAGGAATTGTTTTCACTGCTGTGTTTCATTACCGCTGTCTGTCTCCAGAAAAGCAACGTATGTCTGGTGTTTCTCAAAACTGCTTGGTTCCCCACTCCTTTTTCTCAGGACCTCTTGAGAATTCATGTTTTGTGGAATAAATTTTGATAAAGACATTAGAAAGTGAATTTCACTGTCTTTTTTTTTTCTCTTTACTTTTTTCTGAATCTCTTTTCTATTGCTTATTTCTTTTTTTTTTTTTTCACTGTCTTTTAAGTGGATAGATCATGTGTGTTCCAGTGTGTTCTACAACATAGGGATGTGTTATAGAATACAGGATGTGTATTATAAAATAGCATGCATCTAGTCTTTCTCTAATTTGGGTCTCATTCATGACTCCTTTTTGCAAATTTTCCTTTCAGATGGAGAACAAAGCAAAACCTAGACTATTGTTTTCTAATGATGTATGCTCAGGAAAAGGGCATATATTACATTCAGGTAAGTGCAGTTTTTCCTTGAATGTTCCTAAGCTTTTAAGGAAAAGGTGATGTGCAGGCTGTGTTTTTGTTAAGACAGGAAGCTCTGGGGGCCAGAGAGATAGTACAGTGGGTAGGGAATTTGCCTTGCTCATGGCCGACCAGCACCATGTAGGGTCCCCAAGCCCATGAGGAGTGATCCCTGAGCACAGAGCCAGGAGGAAGCCTTGAGAATCTCATTTGTTTCTGGTGTGGCCCAGAAACAAACCAAAAGGAAAGACAAGACTCTCTGAACGCAGCCCCCCAGTCCTGAGAATGTGTCACCCTCCCATGCTGCTCCATCACTCATCCCCTCTCTGACCCTCCTTTCCAATTACTCACACTTAAAGAAGAACGAAGATTTAAGCATTTTCAAGGATTTTTTTTTTTTTACAATTTTTGGTCATCTTATGTCAAGAATACTCTTTTTCTTGCAGGATTAACTTGAATTCTCATTTCTAAGATAATAAAAACTGACACTAGGTCTCATGGCTCAGCTGTCAGCAGCATCTGTAGCACAGCAGGAGAGAAACTGGGTCCTGATCTGACTTTTAAGCTGAAGGAAACAACTTAAATGTTTCTTTGGTTTGGTTTGGGGGCCACTCTGGCAGTGTTCAGGTCTCAGTGCTCAGGGCTCTGGCTCTGCACTCTTTCTTGGCTGATTTGGGGATCATATGGGATGCCAGGGATGGAACTAGGAAGACCTCATGCGAACATTGCCCCCCTGTGCTGTCGCTTGAACCCCAACTTCAGTATTTCTGAGATTTTCTTCCAAATCTCCTTCTCCCTTACAATGACTAAGCTTACATGTCACTGTTGGCATTTTGTTTTCATATCTGAGGTGGCCCTGCAGGGTTCTGGAGTAGCTCCAAGGCTGACAGCATGTACAGCTTCATGGAGATAGCTCAGGTTTGACCCCAGCGCCTCATAGCCCCCAAAGCAAGAGACAGACACGTTCTTTATCCCTTGTTCAGACTGAAAGTACCCCTGAGAGTGAGGGCAGCTGGAGCCCTGGTAAACTCGCCAGAAAGAAAGTGTATGGCAGCGACTGGCTGGAGGGAGTGGGGAAGTAGGGACAGGCCTTGGCACCCTGGGGCATTTTGACCTGGGCTGGCTGCAGCCCAGCAGGGACTCAGGGTTGTCCAAGCAGGGGTCAGCAGTGTGGGCACAGAAACATGACCCCCCAGATGCACAGCAGACTTCCTTATTCCTTAGAGTCGTCTTACTGTAATTTCAACTGTATTTTTGAAACATTTAAAGATACGGCCAGCTTTATTGCAGCTTATCCTTACTGTTGATTCTGTGGTCCAAATGATCAGGAACTTTACAGAGAGAATTTTTAAAATGTAGTTACATTGCACTTAGATTTTATTTTGTCTATAAGGAGAGAATTATGGAACCCTAAAGGTTGTTTTTTTTGTTTGTTTTTTGATTAAAGGAAATATCTAGGAAATTGGGAAAGGATGGAGTCCAAAAAGGACAGTCAGGGAAAACCTAGGTGTGGTCAGCATATAAGATAATTCCAGTACTGGCTATAATCAGATGTTTATCAAACAAATGCTACTAAAGCATTAAAAAGTGGGGGGTACGGGGTAATCTGTGTAGAGGACTACTGTCTCCTGTGGTAAGGAGTTGTTTACTAAGTTGGCTATCTTCAGAATTGATCTTTTCAGTTTCTGCTTACCACATAGTAGCTCATTTCATGGTCTTCTTTTGCAAATGCTGGGTCATGCAAACATGCTGTCCATATAGCATGTTTTGCTGCCACTTACTGTGGACATCTTTCTATGCTAGTGACTACTGCTTCAGATAATCAGTAGTTGCTTCTATTGAAGTTCTGTTCTTCACATACGGCAGTTTTTGTTGGTCATTGAGACTGTTCCCAACTTCTTAGGTGTTTCAAGGATGAATCTAATATACTTCATGAAATTGCTACATTTTCCCAAAACTCATGCCTCCAGAGAGCAAACTCTCTGTTCCCCGACTCCTCATCTAAGCTCATATGGGGTGGGAGTGTCCCAAGGACACGGTCAGCACTGCATGTGCTGGCATGTGTCGTGCCCCACACTGGGCGGCGTCTCAGATGGCCTAATCAAGGCCACTCTGGGCATCCAGCTCATCCCAGTGACTGCACCACCACTTCATGGTCTTAGATGATTTAACCCTGATCATTGCCAGATGCAGTGTGAATGAAGAGATACAAAGCTCCTTGTTTTTCCTTTGACTTTTGATTTGGTTTCCTTTTCCACATCACTGTCACTGTCATCACTGCCATCCCATTATTCATCAATTTGCTCAAGCTCGTATACCACATACATATACCAAATTAAAAAAAAAATCAAAAGGACTATAAAAAGTCATTTTCTTTGAAAATATTAAAAATAGTGTAAAATCCTTTTGGGTGCTACTAAAGCATTAAAAAGTGGGGGGTACGGGGTAATCTGTGTAGAGGACTACTGTCTCCTGTGGTAAGGAGTTGTTTACTAAGTTGGCTATGTGCATCTTCCTTTGTGTTAAGCTCATGTTTTTAAAAACATTTTATTAAGACACTTGAATTTGTTTTTTTAATTCTCCAGAATGTTGGGGGTAGGTTGGAGGCTGAGCACTGACTTTCATGGCTGAGGTCAGATTTGATCTGGCACTTTAAAAAAAAAGAAAGAAACAAGTGGTTGTGTTTTTTTGGGGGGGGGGTTGTTTTTGTTCTGTTTGTTTTTGGGGCCACACCAGGTGATGCTCAGGGGTGATTGGTATCATATGGGATGTTGGGGGTTGAACCCCAGTCAGCAGTGCACAAGGCACACACCCTACCTCTTGCTGCGGTCCCATTCATGGTAATGTTTACCCCAGGGCTGCACCACACAGGGCCCTAACTCTGGGGTCATGCGTGTGAGGCACGTACTCTACGTCGTCACACTCCCTGTGCCCTCCTCACTTTCTTTTCTGGTTTGGTTTTTTGTTTGGAGGTCTAACCGGCAGTGCTTAGGGGACCAAGTGGGATGCCAGGGATTGAACCCCAGGGGTGGGTGGGGAGCTGAGTGCAAGGCAACTACCGTAATCTGCCATCCTGTCATTCCAGTCTCGACCCTCACTTTTTTTTTTTTAATTTTATTGAATCACCGTGAGATAGTTACACGTTTTCATGTTTGGGTTACAATCACACAATGATCAAACACCCATCCCTCCACCAGTGCACATTCCACACCACCAATATCCCCGGTACACCCCTCCTTTCCCACCTTCCCCCTGCCTCTATGGCAGACCCTGCTTTCTTTTAATCACACTTTTTGACTTCTTAGTTCTTTGTATTGCCCATCAATGTTTTGTCCTCATTGCTACATCAGTGACACTTGAAAGGTTTGAAAGTTGGGTGACTCAATCCTGGAAATTCTTTTGGGTGGGGCAGAAAGGCTACACCCAGGAGTGCTCAGGGGTTACTTCTGACCCTGTACTCATCACTCCTGGCAGGGCGGGAGGCCTTAGGAGGTGCCAGGGACCGGACCTGGTCAGACAGGTGTGAGGCGAGTGCCCTGCCTGCTGCTTTCTCTCTCCAGTCCCAAACTTGGGTGCTCTTTTGCAGAAAGCCTCAAGTGGATGCTGAGACTGTATTTTTTTAAATAATTATTGTAGTTTAGGGCTGGAGCGATAGCACAGTGGGTAGAACATTTGCCTTGCACCCAGCTGACCTGGTCGGCCCAAGTTCGATTCCTCCATCCCTCTCAGAGAGCCCAGAATGCTACCGAGAGTATCTCACCTGCATGGCAAAGCCTGGCAAGCTCCCCGTGACATATTGGATATGCCAAACACAGTAGCAACAAGTCTCACAACGGAGTCGTTACTGGGCCCGCTCAAGCAAATCGATGAACAACGGGAGGACAGTGACAGTGACAGTTTAGGGAATGGGATTATGGAGCCAGATAGTTACGAGGGAAGGAGCTTGCATGTGGTGACTTGGCTTGTCCCACAGGCACCAACAAAGTCAGGACGAAGTCCAAGAACAAAAAATGAATATAATTATAATAGTATTTTCAGCGTATAGTATTGATGGGCAAAGTGGCTGTACAGCACTGCCACTGAGGGCCCGCGTCCCCCCTTCTCTTTGTCCCCCTGGCTAAACTTCCTTTGCTTCCCATCCCACCTGTTTGCGGGTTGACAGTCAAGGTTTCCATGATGCTTGTCACATTCTCAGCTAACATTCCCACTCCACACCCCCTTCCCTGTGCCTCCATCCTCACCCCCTAGCACATTCCTCCTGCTCAGTCCATCGCCCAAACTGGCAATAAATTTTTTTTTATCATTTTTGACATTGTTTTACTTCATTTACAAATATAAGTAATAAGTAAAGTATGTTTTAAATCTGTCATAATAGACGCTGGAGGAATAGCATAGCAGGTAGGGCATTTGCCTTTCATGTGGCTGACCCGAGTTTGATCCCCAGCATCTCATATGGTTCCCTGAGCACCACCAGGAGTAATTCCTGAGTGCAGAGCCAAGGAGTATCCCCTGTGCATTGCTGGGTGTGACCCAAATTTAAAAAAAATTGTCATAATAATGAGGTTCTATCTAAATATTTCTATTTTATGATTTGTTAATATGACTTCATTTTTCTTTAGCTTGAAGATGATATTATTGTCAAACAGAATTACTTTAACATTATGAAAAATTTTGCACTTCAACTTTCTTCTGAAGACTGGATGATTCTAGAGTTCTCCCAGCTGGGCTTTATTGGTAAGAAAGTGTTAAATACTTTTTGAAATAACTGACTTGCTTAAGTTAACAATTTTTTTTAATTAGTGAAACACCCTGAGGTACAGTTGTAGACTTACAAACTTTTGTGCTTGGGTTTCAGTTATACAATGATCGAGTACCCATCCCTCCACCAGTGCCCATTCTCCACCACCAATGATCCCAGTAGCCCTCTCATCCCCACACCCCATCCCCCATACCCCACCCCGCCTATGTGGCAGGGCATTCCCTTTTGCTCACTCTTTCCTTTAGGGTATTGTAGTTTGCAATAGAGGTATTGAGTGACTGTCATATTTGGTCTATAGTCTACCTTCAGCACGCATCTCGCATCCCCAGCGAGTCCTCCAAACATCCTTTACTTAGTGTTCTCTTCTCTATCTGAGCTGCCTTTTCCCCCAGCATGTGAGGCCAGCTTCCAAGCCGTGGAGCAGACCTCCTGGTACTTATCTCAACTATTCTTGGGTGTTCAACTCCCCTTCTGTTACTTCATATTTCCCAGATGGATGCAGTCTTTCTGTCTGTTCCTCTCTTTCTGGCTCATTTCACTTAGCATGTAGAACTTTCCATGTAGAACCACTTGTATGTAAATTTCATGACTTTATCTTTTCTAACAGCTGCATAATATTCCACTGTAGATGTACCAAGTCACAGTCATGGTCCTCCCGTTGTTCATCGATTTGCTCAAGCGGGCCCAGTAACGTCTCCATCATGAGACTTCTTGTTACTGTGTTTGGCATATCCAATATGTCACGGGTAGATGTACCAAAGTTTCTTTAACCAGTCGTCTGTTCTCCGGCACTTGTTTTTTTTTTTTCCAAATTTTGGCTGTTGTGAACAGTGCAGCAATGAACATAGAAGTGCAGATGTCATTCTGACTCTACTTTTTTGCCTCTCCAGGATATATTCCCAGGAGTGGTATTGCTGGGTCAAATGGGAGCTCAATTTCTAATTTTTTTCTAATTTTTTTTTTTTTTTGCTTTTTGGGTCACACCCAGCGATGCTCAGGGGTTACTCCTGGCTTTGCACTCCTGGCGGTGCTCGGGGGACCATATGGGATGCTGGGAATCGATCCGGGGTCGGCCGCATGCAAGGCAAACGCCCTACCCGCTGTGCTATTGCTCCAGCCCCCAATTTCTAATTTTTTGAGAATCGTCTATACTGTTTTCCAAAAGGGCTGAACCAGTCAGCATTCCTACCAACAGTGAAGGAGGGTCCCTTTCTCTCACATCCGCACCAATACCAGTTGCTTTTGTTCTTTTGGAATGGACAAGTCTCTGTGGTGTGAGATGATATCTCATTGTTGATTTGATCTGCATCTCCCTGATGATGGGCTGGAGCGATAGCACAGCGGGTAGGGCGTTTGCCTTGCAAGCTGATGGCCCGGCCGAGCTGGGTTCAATTTCTCCTCCCCTCTCGGAGAGCCCAGCAAGCTACTGAGAGTACCTCGCCCACGCGGCAAAGCCTGGCCAGCTACCCGTGACGCATTCGATATGCCAAACACAGTAACAACAAGTCTCACAATGGAGACATTACTGGGCCCGCTCGAGCAAATCAATGAACAATGGGAGGACAGTGCTATACAGTGCAGTGCTCCCTGATGATTAGTGATGTAGAGCATTTTCTCATGTGCGTTTTTGCCATTCGGATTTCTTCTTTGAGACAGTTTCTGTTTCTGTTTCTGTTCATTTCATCATCCCATTTTTTGATGGGTTTGGATGTTTTCTTCTTGTGGAGTTCAACCCGTGCTTTGTATATCCTTGATATCAACCCCTTGTCGGATGTATATTGGGTGATTATTCTTTCCCATTCTGTGGACTGTCTTTGTATTTTGGTCACTGTTTCTTTTGAGGTGCATAAGCTTCTTAGTTTAAGATAGTCCCATTTGTTCTATTTTTGTTTTCACTTGCTTGGCCAGTGGCATGTCATCTTTGAAGATACTGTTAGCTTCAATGTTGTGGAGGGTTTTGCCAACCTTGTCTTCAACGTACCTTATGGATTCTGGTCTGATGTTGAGGTCTTTGATCGGTTTTATTCTTACTTTTGTACATGGTGTTAGGTAGAGATCTAAGCCCATTTTTTTGCATGTAGCTGTCCAGTTTTGCCAGCACAATTTGTTAAAGAGGCTTTCTTACTCCACTTCACATTTCTTGCTCCCTTATCAAAGATTAGATGATCATATGTTTGGAGGAAGATGTCAGTATATTCAACTCTGTTCCATTGGTCTGCAGCTCTGCCTTTGTTCCAGTTTGTGTGTGATTTGCATCTATCTTCAGTGCATTGTGATCTGAAAAAATTGTTGATATTATTTCTATCTTCCTGATTCTATTGAGGTATGTTTTGTGGCCTAGCATGTGGTCTATTTTGGAAAATGTTCCGTGTGCACTGGAGAAGAATGTGTATTCTTTCTTTTGGGGGTGTAAAGCCCCAAAAGGTCTATAAGCCCTCTCTTTTCTATTTCTTCCTCCAATGTTTCCTTGCTGAGTTTTGTTCTTGTTGATCTATCCAGAGGTGATAAGGTGATGTTGAAGTCTCCACCTACTATTGTGTTGCTAGCAATGTCCTCCTTAAAATCTGTAGCAGTTGTTTGAAATATTCAGCTTTTCCCTCATTAGGTGCATATACATTTAAGAGTGTGATTTCTTCCTGTTGTACGTATCCCTTGATGAATAGAAAATGGTCTTTGTTGTCCCTTCTAATCTTTTTCAACCTGAAATTTATGTTGTCGGATACTAGTATGGCCACCCCAGCTTTTTTGAGGAAGCTGTTTGCTTGCAGGATTGTTTTCCATCCTTTAACTTTGAGTCTGTGTTTGCTCTGGCTGTTCAGATGAGTTTCTTGTAGACAGCAGAATGTTGGGTTCTGTCTCTGAATCCATTTTGCCACGCTGTTTCTCCTAATTGGTGAATTTAGACCATTGATGTTGAGAGAGATTATTGTCATGGGGTTTTGTATCATCTTTCTGTAAGGGTTTGTTATGCTTGTAGAGTTTGTCTTGTCTTATAGTAGCCCCTTTAGCCCTTCTTTTAGGTTTAGTTTTGATTCTATGAAGTTCCTGAGCTGCTGTTTATCTGCAAAATACTGTACCACTCCTTCTGGTTTGAGTGAGAGTTTAGCCAGATAGAGCTTTCATTTCAGTGAGTTTTTTTTTACTATATCCCACCATTGCCATTGGGCTTGGAGGGTTTCCTCTGATAGGTCTGCTGTGAATCTAACGGGTGCTCCTTTGTATTTGATTTCCATCTTTGACCTTGCTGCTTGCGGTATTGTGTCTCTATCGGTGGCATCCATCATTCTAACTATGATATGTCTTGGAGTGTTTTTATTAGGGTCTCTTTTAGCTGGCATCCTTTGGGCTCCTTGAATAGCTGCATTGTCCAGCTCTGGGAATTTTTCAGCAGTGATTTGTTTAACCGTGGATTTTTCATTGAGATTGTTTCCCTGACCTTCTGGTACTCCAATGATTTAAATGTTGTTCCTCTTGGAATCATCTCCTAGGACTCTGATTCGCTCTAGATCTATTTTGAGGTCTCTTGCCATTGTTTGTTGTTGCCTGTAGACTTCCTGCAGCTGATCTTCACGCTCACTGATTCTGCCTTCAGCTGTAGCCATTCTACTGTTGAGGGCACACACTGAGTTTTTTATTTCATCTACTGAATCCTTTATTCGTGACACTTCTGTGCGTAGCTTTTCAATTTCTGCTCTCATTTCTTCCTGTAATTTCTCGATTGTCCAATCCATTGTTTCTTTCATGTCCTCCTTTAATTTATTGGATCACTGTTTCTTTGAGTTCATTGAACATCTTCATTACTTCATATCTGAATTCTTCATCAGAGAGGTCCCTTATGTGAGTCCCTAATGAGGCTTCTGGACTCTTTTCATCGTCCTGTCCTCATGGTGGGGATTTACGTTGTTTCTTCATGTTGGTATGATGGTATGGAGACTGAGATGTTACATGAGATTGCTGGATTGGTATGTGTAATTTACCTGCGGCTGTGTAAGCAGCAGCTGGCCCAAAATTAGGCCACACCCACTGCTGCAGAGGCAATGCCCACTTTGGAAGAGGCCATGCCACCTAAGGGTACCTGGTGTGTGTGCGGGGAGGGTACAACCTGAGGGATGGAGAAGACAAGCGCAACGTTGGGGATGAATAGGAAGAGGCTCACGTGTGGTGGTAGGCCCAGGGTCCTAGAGGACGCCTGGGGCGCATACGCGGGAAATGCAAAGTCCCGGGTTTGAATAATGACTGACCTGAGGGTTGGAGAAGAGCAGGTGCAGCGCTGGGGATGAATAGGAAGAAACTCAGGGGTGGTGGGCAGCCCAGGGTTCTAGAGGACTCCTGGGTCGTGTCCAGGGGGAAGGCAAGGTCCTGGGTTTGAATAATGACTGACCTGAGGGATGGAGAATACCAGGCACAGCGTTAGGGATGAACAGGAAGAGGCTCAGAGGTAGTGGGCAGCCCAGGGTCCTAGAGGATGCCCGAGGCGTGTACGCAGGGAAGGCAAAGTCCCGGGTTCGAATAATGACTCACAATTTTTTTTACCTAAAAGTTATCTATTGAATAAATTGTTTTTGAGGAGATTTGATTTAAGTAAAAGTGTATGAAATGATGGAACTCAACAAGTTCTAGAAACTCCTAAGATTATATATACTTTAGAGATCTGTGAGACATTTCTACTGAACTATTTATGTCCGTAAAGTTACCTTTTCGCCCCAGGAAGCTTGCTAATTGCTTTTGATAGCTGAGGTTTCCCATTTGTGTACACACACACACACACACACACACACACACACACACACACACACCCCACATGCTTTGGTAAGATTGCAACTAAGAAAAATGCTATTCCAGTGGTTCTAATATGAGGCATAGTACATGGTAATCTTGCTCAGCAAATAATTTGTATTTATTTGTTACAACTGGCTGGAGCAATAGCACAGCAGGTAGGGCGTTTGCCTTGCACAAGGCTGACCCAGGTTTGATTTCTCTGTCCCTCTCGGAGAGCCAGTAAGCTTCTGAGAGTATCCCACCTGCACGGCAAAGCCTTTGCAAGCTACCCATGTTGTATTTGATATGCCAAAAACAGTAACAACAAGTCTTACAATGGAGACGTTACTGGTGCCTGCTAGAGCAAATCAATGAACAATGGGAGGACAGTGCTACAGTGCATCGCTATCATTGACGAGAGTACTCATTTTAAAAGATTTTTTTCCACTAAAGTTCCTAAATTATCCAAATAAAGAGAATACTTTTGAAGTTAAGAGTTGGGGGGATTTTATGAAACTTGGCATTTTTAAGTTTAGAGGGCATTTCAATCATTTATTTCAAAACTTGTTACTTATAAAGGTTTCATTGAAGAGATAATTAGGAGTCTGGATTTTGCTTTTATTGATTTAATTTTTTTAACCTAAGTTCCTTTCTCATTGCAAGTATCTAAGTACTACATGAAAAAAAGATTTATATTTTAATCCTTTCAGCCAATAGCCCTATGGTAGCTTTTGTCTTAAAGTCAGTTCAGTACTTTATTACTATGATCTTTAATAAATGACAGCTCGAGAATGTCTAAAGCAAGTTTGTCTTTGGTAAAGCGATTCATGATAATGTAGAGTTGAAAGCCACAGATTGTCCCACCTTTGCATGTAGGTGTCATTGCTGTGAGTCAGTTTAAAGCTGTCTCTGTTCCAGCCACTGACTGCACTGTCATTCCAGGTAAAATGTTCCGTGCGCCAGACCTCACTTTGATCGTGGAATTCATCGTTATGTTCTATAAGGAGAAGCCTATTGATTGGCTTTTGGACCATATTCTCTGGGTTAAAGTCTGCAACCCTGAGAAAGATTCAGTAAGTTAATTTCTTAGGATGATGGAAGAGGTTTCTTTCATTTATTTCATGAAATTTGACTTTTACAGAGTGAGATTTTATAAATGAGAAATTAAGTAGTTAGGTAGAATAAACAAAAACTGTTTACACTTGACCTTTCTTAAACACATGGAAGTCCCTGTCTGGGGCCAGAGAGGTAGTTCTGGGCTTAAGACGCCTTTGTGCCAGTGTCCAGCTCTGCCCATTTCCTGCCCGCTTGGTACTCTGAACACAGCTCCTGGTATAGCCCCAGGGTGGCCTGGGGGAGCAGGTATAAGTTGGACTGTACCCTACGGCCCTCAACCGACTGAGCTGGGTCACAGACAGGCCCCTCGGGGTCAGTGAAAACAATGAAAAATGAGGGTGGGGAGGCAGAGGTATATGTGTGCACTTGAATGTGAGCATGCACGTGTGTGTGTGCCTGTGTGCATGTGTGTGTATGCACTCATTTGTGTGTGTGTGTGTGTGTGTGTGTGTGTGTGTGTGTGTGTGTGTGTGTTTTAGGGGAAGTCTCCTAGGGGTTCTTAGCCATCCTGGCCTGTAGCACTTCTTGGGCCTCCAGGTTCTCGGTAGTGCTCAAGGCCTGTGGGCCTTACCTGGTAATGCTGCAGGGATCCTGCAGTACTGGGGGGTCTGGCCAGGCCCAGCCTCATGCCTCACCCCTGCACTCTCTCTCTGGCCCTGGAGGGACACTTTGGACTGCAGCAAAGTCCTCACTAGGACTTTTCATGGCCATGTGGACCATGACCTTGGGTTCCATGCGGGCTTGTCGTTGGCTGTGGGTGTTGGCCCTGTCTGTTTGGGTGTGGCTTGGGCAGTTCCTTTGCTCTGTGCTCTCTCACAGCTTCTCTTTCCCAGTTATTCTGAGAGCATTATCAGACCCCCCAATACATCTGGAAATAAGGAATAAAGTAGAATCAGTACTTGATACTAAAGCAGTGGCGAGTCAGGAAAGTAGCTTCAGGAGCCCAAGGTAGGACAGGGTTAAGGCACTCGCCTTGCATGTAGCCAACCCCGCTCGTTCCCTAGCACCACCAGGAGTGATCCCTGAACATAGAGCCTGAGCTGCTGGGTGTGCCCACCCTTTCCCCAATAAAAAAATAAATAAAAGATAACCAGAGGTAGTCTTATTTGCAAGAAATCATCTCATATACAACTGTGAAATGCTGGGGTAGGTAAGTAGTTTTCCTTTTTTTGCTTAAATGTCATGTTATTTCCATAGAAATCTTGAAAAAGTAATTTGATAGGTTTTCCTTGTCCAATTTGTCTGAGAAGAACTCTTTTTAGCTTGCATGGTACAGTCGTGAACAAAAAGGAATGTCCACAGTCAATTTAGTTTTTGTTTAAGTTTTTTATAGTGCGTAGAGCCCTGGGACAGCCCCTGGCATCCACCCAGCGTGAGACTCTGAGAAGTCAGTGCTCAGACCTGCTGGTGCTCCGGGCACAAGGGCCACGCTCAGTGGTGTCAGGAGGGGAGTATGTGTTTCCTTGGGACCCAACCCAGGGTCTCTCACCTGCTAGGCATGTGCCCACTGCGCAGTCGCACCCCCTATTGTTTTCCCAGGGGATGCCTCACTCCCAAGGCTGGTCTCTGACTCTGCCTCAACATCTCGGACCCATCTCAAAAAAGGTAGTGGGGCTGAGTGTGAAGGGCACTTGCCTTGAACACAGCCCACCCAGGGTCCAGGTGACCTGGACCCTGGGATACAGCCCTGTGCGCTGACCCATCCCTGCCCACCCCCCAAATCAACCCAACTGTAAGAATCACTGAAAAGAGAACAAATCAGTGATCCACAGGGAAGTAGTGCTCTCTCGAGCACTGAACTAGTGCCTTGATGGAGGGCCCTGCCAGCATTCTGGAACCGTCTGTATTTTGTACCTGTCACACTATGATCAGGCATGAGAACATGTTCTAATCTGAACTCTGGGCCTTATATACCGTGAGTTGAGATAGAATTGTGCTTCCACGAATGAGTCTCTGAACCCCTCAACAGTGTTTGCTTCCATATTGGAGTCGCTGAGCTGTTGCCTCATATTCTCCTATATGCTTTCATAAAAGGAAAAAATATTTGTGTATCTGAGCCAAAACTGTTTATTGGGTTTCACTTTAAAATGTAACAGGTGATTTTTTTTTTATATATCTAGAAACACTGTAACAGACAAAAATCAAACCTTCGAATTCGCTTCAGACCTTCCCTTTTCCAACATGTTGGTCTGCATTCTTCACTAACGGGAAAAATTCAGAAACTCACAGTAAGTGATTTAATTTTGTATTTCTCATGGGAAAATAGCCGATTTTTAAAAATGTATAATCTTTGTTCTTCCTAAGGTGCACATTGATTAATAGCACATATGCCTTTTCTCCCTAGGATAAAGATTATATGAAACCATTACTTCTTAAAATCCATGTCAACCCTCCTGCAGAGGTCTCAACTTCTCTGAAAGTCTACCAAGGGCACACTCTGGAGAAAACTTACATGGGAGAGGACTTCTTCTGGGCTGTTACCCCAGTAGCTGGCGACTACATCTTGTTTAAATTCGATAAACCAGTCAATGTAGAAAGGTTAGTGATTATTAAAATGATTTTATCTTAAAATGTACACCTCTTACTCATAATGAATGATCTTCTTTTACTTTCTGTTGTTTTTGTTATAGCACATGTGAAGTAGTCATCGAGACCTACATGTTGAACTATAAATTACATTTTTTTTGTCACTGGGTAATAAAATGAGTTGTTTTCAAATATAATCTTATCATTTACTTCCCTAATAAGCTCTATGGGTACTTCCATATGTCTATTTAGTCAAGTTTTAAATATTTTCATGAATTCTCCCTTAAGATCTCAAATTAGTTTGCAGCCTTTAGCCTTAAGATTTGGTTGAGAGGTAGTTGCAGAGCCCAGCAGCTTGGTTGAGGTGATCAGTTTGACAGATTTGGACAATTCTCAGTCGGTTGTTTGGAAAATGTCACTTGAATTTTAGTGTGTTGTGATCTCAGAGCCTCCATGTGGTTCAGTATTTTTGTTTCGTTCCCCAGCAGGACGTCCTCTTCTTGTTTTTCACTTAGTAGCCACACTTCTTTCATCCCTTTCTTCATTGTGGGCTTGCTCCTATTCTGTGATTAGCATTCTCCAGCTTCTGGCTTGTTAAATTTGATTTTTGGATTGTTTTTGGTTTTGGCTTTGGGCCACACCTGGTTCAGGACTTATTCTTGGCTCTGCTGGCAAGGGTTACTACTGGTAGACTCGGGTACCATCTGGAGTTACAGGGGCTGAACAAGGGCTCTACCCACTGTACTATCATTGTTCCAGGCCTGAGTTTTGTGTCCTTCTGGTGAGGGCGATTTGGATTTTCGCACCTGCCAGAGCTAGTAGAATCATCCTTTTTTTTTTTTTTAATATAAATAATGGCCACAGGCAGTGCACAGGTACTCATTTTCTTGTTACTCTACACTGATGACTTTTAAGTGTAAAAGTGTTCTAAGCTATAGTGTATCACTATGGCTTAACATAAAAATACTTCTGAGTAATATTTTTCATATATATATATATATATATATATATATATGCCTCTCGGAGAGCCTGGCAGGCTACCGAGAGTGTCCCACCCTCACGGACAGAGCCTGGCAAGCTCCCCGTGGCATGTTTCATGTGCCAAAAGCAGTAACTATAACAGGTCTCATTCCCCTGACCCTGAAAGAGCCTCCAATCATTGGGAAAGACAAGTTCAGAGAGGCTGGTAAAATATCAGGGCTGGGACGAATAGAGATGTTACTGGCGCCTGCTCGAGTAAATCAAGGAACAACAGGATTACAGTGATACAATGACAGAATATTTTTCATTTATATGAATATATATTCTATGTCTTGTTAAAATTAGGCTGTGGTTGTGACATGACGTATATTTGGGTATGGTTTTATAAATTAAAAGAATCATCATAGAAGTGGTAACAATTCTTGTTGTCTATTTTTCATACAAAAATAGCCCCAAACTATGTTACTTTTTATTTTCATTAATCAAAAACAATTCCAGAAATCTGCTAAAAAACTCATAATTAGCGGAAATTGGGTCAGAGAGATAATACAGGGACAAAGACACTTGCTTTGCTTGTAACCCGCAAAACCACCTATCCCCTGAGCACCACCAGGAGTGATCCCTGAGCATAGAGACAGGAATAATCACTGAGCAATGCAAGTGTTAAAAATATAATATGTTATGTGTTCTTTATACTAAAATATTGAAGTATGAAGAATCAGGAGAAAACTCTTAATTCCAAGAATACAGTAGCATCATTTTTTTCTTGATAGTTCCATGCTGTTTATACTTTGAGATCATGCTTGCTATGTAATTTTTTACCTTGTATTTCCCATTACACTCTGTCATAAATGACTTATAGACATTTATTGTCTGCACACATTCTCATCACAGGACGACTTTGCTTCTGCTTACATTTACTTCTGATGTTAAACTTGCTGGGGTATATCAAGTTGTTGTCTGAATCACCACAATGGTTAACACTCTGAATCCGAAATTATCCTTGTGTCAGGAAACTGCATTGGGGGACCAAAGCCCTGAGTTCAGGTTCCGAGCACTGCCCCCTGAGCCCTGCTGAGCTAGTCTTGGAGGCTCCAGCACCTCTGGGCCCAAGCATTCGGTCTAATTGGTTGCTTATTCCTGGAGTGGCCCTGGAATCCCTGGGGGCACATCAAAAACCCCCCTCCACCCCCAAAGACATGCAGTCCCTTGTCCCCTATTTCTGTGTCTATAGATGAGACATCGAATGGCTTGTTGATATGAACCAGCTTTTCAGGCACACACTTTAATAATCCCCTGAAGTCTTTTGGGGTTGGCAAGAGAGCTCAGCTCTTTAAAGGTGCATGTTTTGCTGCAGGAGGCTTGAGCTCAACCTCCAGCACGGTGTGGTCCCCCAAGAACAGCTGTGAGTTACCCCTGCACACCAAGTCAGGAATAGCCCCCAGCCCCCTGCCTGTGATGCCAGACAAATACTTTAAAGAGCATTTCGTCTGAGAGTGCTGAGTACAAAGGGGTTACTTATTAGGTTCCCTGGCCCTATGAATCATTTGAAATTCAAGGCCTTGTCACAGGCAGTTTTTGCCCTTAGTTCCCATACTGTGCTATACTGTACTGTTACTGTAATTGTTGCTGAAGCATTGTTTATTAGTCAGGTCCCATGAATTCCTTGGTCAGTCATGTGAAGCAGGAGGAACTCTAGCTAGAGGAGATTAGGCCCCAAAAGGTAATGTAGCTTGCTAATGGTGAGCATCCAAGTAACTGCAATCAATATAGTCCCTGGATTCTGATCCAGATCTAACTCCTAACTATAAGCCATTTAGCTGCATCAAACTTAAAAAAGTTTCAAGTTCAGGTTTAAATATGCTTCACATGCCTTCCTTACTTTCTATGCATCTCCTTCCTCACTCAGCTTACATATGTACAGTAGGCAGTTTTTAGAATATAAGCATGACCACCCACTTATACCCAGAGAGCATTTCAGATCTCAAGTCAGCAACTAATCAAGTGTGTGTTAGTATTGATGAATGAAGCTTTTCAAGTATTTGGAATTGGCTGAGTGGTTTGTTACTTTCATTCAACTTCTAATAAAATTTATTGGGAAAGTCTATTCTTTGAACTTGTCATTAGTGGTGGCTGTCCAGTGAGAATTTTCTCTGATATACCAATATGACATAACTGCTACAATTTTATTTCTACTAAGCAGTTTCTTTAATTAATATAAACATTGCACTTAAAGTGATATAAAACTGTCATCATTTTTTCCACTATATACATTATTATGTAAGCCCTTTTTTGCCATGAAATATACCACTCGATATATTCTAAACTTAATATATATTTTAAATTTAATACTTCAAGTTTAAAACTTTCCTGTAACTATTCTGAGCACATTACACACAGTTACTACAAGGTCTAATGTACTTTTGTAGTCAATTTGTTTAGAAAGCTTAATCTGAGGCAAGCCATTGTGAATCTTTTGTAAAGCTTAGTCTGATCCTTTTTTTCTCTGAATTTTCAGCTATTTATTCCATAGTGGCAACCAAGAGCATCCAAAAGATATTTTGCTAAACACAACTGTGGAAGTTCTGCCTCTAAAGGTATGCCTGTCTTTCCCTGTGGTTTCCCTTAAGCACGAATCCCAATAGACTGCATTCAAGGCCACTATTGTTTATAAGGCAAAAGAAAGTTCTCTGATTGCAACAGGGCCTTAGTGGTAAGTAATTCTAATTTCTTTTTTTTTTTTTGAAATATGGTACACCTAGTATATTGGTCCATTTGCTTTATTCACAACTTTCATATTTCTTGTTGGAAAATGACTTAGAAATTTGTACTAGGAAAATAAATGAGTCATTAATTTTCTTTAGTGTTTATCTTGTTTTATTTTAAATCCCCCAGAATCTCATGTGATTAGAAAGCCTTTTGACTATTATTGCAAAGTTAATTGATTTCTAGGCACATAGTTAGATTTCCTTCAAGTAACACACAGTTCTTTTTCTTTATGCCTTAAGTAGAAAATAATGTATTATCAAATGATTTAAGTGTAAAGCCAGTGGAATGGAATTACAGGGAGGTAGTTCCAATGGAAGGAGTACAAGCCTTGCATGCACAGAGCCCTGAGTTCCATCCCCAACACTGGTGGCCCCCGAGCACCCTGGGCTCTGGCCCTGCTAGCCCCTAGAGGCACTACATTGCTGGACCACCTCCCACCCCCGAGCCTGCCAGGGAAGGGGTCCCCTGGCTCTCAGGAGCCCCTGTTGGAAAACAAACCCTTGTCTGACCACTGTGCTTCCTGATATGCACTGATCCAGCAACCACCACAGCAGAGAACCCTCAAGGCAGGCTTCAGGGCAGAGATGACATTTCTTGTTTCATTTCTCTTAGTTCTTCTACAAATGCCAGTTTTATATTTATTCATATGTATTTATAACATTGCTCCATTCCCCTGGGGATGGAGCGATAGCACAGGGGTAGGGTGTTTGCCTTGCAAGCCGCCAGCCGGCCGAACCAGGTTCGATTCCTCCACCCCTCTCTCGGAGAGCCCCTCTCTCGGAGAGCAAGCTACCGAGAGTATCTCGCCCGCACAGCAAAGCCTGGCAAGCTACCCATGATGTATTCGATATGCCAATCATAGTTACAACAAGTCTCACAATGGAGACGTTACTGGGCCCACTCAAGCAAATCAATGAACAATGGGAGGACAGTGCTACAGTGCTCTACATTTATAACTTAGTTTTTTTTTTCTTTTTTTTTTTAACTTAGCTTTAACGAGAAGTTAAATTATTTAGAAAGTTCAGTGTTTGTGTTCTGTTTTAGAGTGAAGGCCTGGAAGTAAGCAAAGAAACCAAAGACCAGCGATTAGAAGACGGCTACTTCAGAATAGGTAACACCCTGCAGGAAGATGCCCTTCACTTTCCTCTGCTTCTAAAGTGCTTGCAGCTTCTTTTCAGATGTGAGGCATTTCTTAGGGTTACTCTTGGCTCTGTGCTTCCAGCTATCATTTGTTCTTGTTCTTTAGAGCTTTTTTACCTGAAGGAACATTGCATTGTAACATGAGTTGAGGGCTAGTACTTTTGTTATCCTGACCCAACTAGGATTTCAGAACAAAGATCCACTTACTGCATTCCTCCTTCTCTCTCCATCTGTCAGCACTTGCCTGTCTGAAGCTGGATTCTTCGGTGTTTGTGGGTGGGGTGAACTCAACTGCCTTCCGGAGTCTCTGCTTCTCGTCCCAGCTTCGCCCTGAATGCCAGCTCTCCCTGGGGTCCCGGCTCTGAGCCTCTCTGAGCATCTGGAATGTGTACATGTTTTTTCAGTCAGCACAGTTTTGCCACCATTGTTCTTGGGGTTCCATGGGAGGCATCCAACCCTTTCCATGGCATACAATAAAACCGTTCATCTGTCTGCTTGCCCTCTGCTCTGAGCGAGTGAATGATTACATTTTTATTTCACATCAAGCAAATTAATGCTTTTCTTAGCCATTGGCAAAAGGGGATATTAATATATCAATATTGGAGGTATAAAATATAGATTCATCTATCTCTCAAGTGCAGTTCAGCACTGGATGAATCCCATCCCATTTGGGTGGACAGATGAATCGAGTTCTTTTCATGTTTGGGATATATCTGAGTTCACTCATAGAAATGTGCATAGAATTGACTGAGTATATAAGACATCTGTAAACATTATAAGTGCAAATTATTCAATTGTGGATAATGCTGTGTGTTTGATTGTGAGAAGAACCCAAGAAATAAAGGCGTCTGTGTCTCTCAGCAAGAACCAGTGCTTCCCAGGGCTGATGGTGCCCGGACCTAGGGCTGTAGTAGGCTTGCATGTGGCAGGGGTGCTTTGTTCCCCTCAAAGATTCCCAGGCAGGGTGCTGATAACGTTTTTTTATGAAATGGGTCAGTGGCCAAATAAGTTTGGAAACCTCTGGTTTAAAACATAAACTCATATGCTTAAGGGGTGTCCTGGGGCCCTCAACAGCTCCCAGAGGAGCTCTGGGACACTCAGCAGCTCCCAGGGTTGTCCTGGGCCCTGCAGCTCCCAGGAGCATGCTGCCTGGTTTTGTGTGCAGTTCTGAAGACAGTGTTCAGGATTCTGTCTCTTTCTCAATGCCACCACCATGTGACTCATGCGTGTGGATCACTTGTTTTCACTGCTGTGTAGGTTGGCGTGGAGGAGTTTATAGGCTGCTCCTGTTCCATCATTGCTCGTCCCATCTTCCTGCTTCCATAAATAATGCTGATCCAGATACTCATGCATGTGGGCAAGAGTACCTCTGGGTACTTAGAAATAGAAGTAAATCTTTGATTGATAACCTTCAACATAGTAATTATTATTTTTCTTTAATTTTATTTATTTATTATTTATTTAAAGGGCTGGAGCGATAGCACAGCGGGTAGGGCGTTCGCCTTACAAGCGGCCAACATGGCCGACCCGAGTTCAATTCCTCCGCCCCTCTCGGAGAGCCCGGCAAGCTACCGAGAGTATTCGATATGCCAGACACAGTAACAACAAAGTCTCCAATGGAGATGTTACTGGGCCCGCTTGAGCAAATCGACGATCAACGGGAGGGCCTTTACCTTTTTACCTTTATTATTGATTTATTTGTTTGGTTTTTTATTAGTGAAACACCATGGGTACAGTTGTAGGGTTATAAACTTTCATGTTTGGGTTTCAGTTATACTATGATAGAGTACCCATCCCTTCACCAGTGCCCATTCTCCACCATCAATGAACCCAGTAGCCCTCCCATTGCCCCACCTGATCCCCCTCACTCCGCCCCAACTCTGTGGCAGGGCATTCCCTTTTGCTCTCTTTCCTTTAGGGTGTTGTGGTTTACAATAGAGGTATTGAGTGGCCATCGTGTTTGGTCTGTAGTCTACTTTCAGCACACATTTTGCATCTCGAGTGTGTCCTCCAAACACCCTTTACTTGGTGTTCCCTTCTCTGTCTGAGCTGCCTTTTCCCCCAGCATCTGCTGCCAGCTTCCAAGCCGTGGAGCAGACCTCCTGGTACTTATGTCAACTATTCTTGGGTGTTCAACTACTATTCTGTTACTTTATATTCCCCAGATGACTGCAGACTTTCCTATGTCTGTCCCTCTCTCTCTTTCTTTCTTTTTATTTTTTTATTTTTTATAATTTTATTTGTTGAATCACTGTGAAAGCAGTTACAAAGCTTTCGGGTTTAAATCTCAGTCATACAGGGAAACACCCGTACCTTCACTAGTGCCCATTCTCCACCACCAAAAACCCCAGTATACCCCATCCCACACCCTCCCCCATCCGTGGGGCAAATGATTTCCTAATTACTCTCTCTCTACTTTGATTACATTCAATATTTTGACACCAGACCCGCCATTATTATTTGGTATTTTACCCCAACACTCAGATCTGCCAAAAAGACAACAGTAGACAATTTGTTTTCTATTGCTGGTTATGAATAACATATGATGTCGTGTGACTGCAGTAGTGGCTGTGCGATTTTGAAATTCCAAAATTTTAACAATTAAATCTGAAGGGATTTCTGCCAAAACCTACTGGGTTCCTAGATTTGTTCCTGAGTCTCTGGGATCATAGCCATTAAGCAGCTTGATCAGGAGCCAGAGAGGCCTTTCATGGGCGGTGACTCGGGGTCTTATTGGAATGGGGAGGAAAGGGCTGGCTCCAACCCCATCCTGTGAGGCCCCACGTGTCTTGTCACTGAGGGCCCAAACCTGACTGTCCAGTGGACTCTGGAGGATGGCGGCCACAGGGCCGCCAGGGGGGGAACAGGCCAAGATACAAAACCTATTCCCACCTGGGTTGACCCACCGCCAGTAACCTACTGCAGGTACCAGACACATTTCTGCCAAAAGCCACTGGGTTTCAAGATTTGTTTCTGAGTCTCTGGGATCATGGCCATTAAACGGCTTGATCAGGAGCTAGAGAGGCTGTTTGTGGAAGGCAACTCAGGGTCTCATTGGGACAGGAGAAAAGGGCTGGCTCCACCCCCCATCCTGTGAGGCCCCACGTGTCTCGTCACTGTGAGCCCAAACCTGACTGTCCAATGGCCTCTGGAAGATGGTGACCACCGAGCCACCTAGGGGAAGCAGGTGGAGGGACAGCACCCTTTCCCCCTTGGGGTGGCCTGGTCACAGTAATCTACTGCGGAGTCTGGACGCATTTCTGCCAAAAGCCACTGGGTTTTGAGATTTGTTTCTGAGTCTCTGGGATCATGGCCATTAAACGGCTTGATCAGGAGCTAGAGAGGCTGTTTGTGGAAGGCAACTCAGGGTCTCAGTGGGACAGGAGAAAAGGGCTGGCTCCACCCCCCATCCTGTGAGGCCCCACGTGTCTCGTCACTGTGAGCCCAAACCTGACTGTCCAATGGCCTCTGGAAGATGGTGGCCACCGAGCCACCTAGGGGAAGCAAGTGGAGGGACAGCACCCTTTCCCCCTTGGGGTGGCCTGGTCACAGTAATCTACTGCAGAGTCTGGACGCATTTCTGCCAAAAGCCACTGGGTTTTGAGATTTGTTTCTGAGTCTCTGGGATCATGGCTGTTAAGCAGCTTGATCAGGAGCCAAAGAGACCATTTGTGGGCAGCAACTCAGGGTCTCATTGAAACGGGGAGGAAAGGGCCGGCTCCACCCCCATCCCAATGAGGCCCTGCGTGTCTCATCACTGGGGGCCCAAACCTGACTGTCCAATGGCCTCTGAAGGATGGCGGCCACTGGGCCTCCATGGGAAACAGGCCAAGGAACAAAACCTATTCCCACCTGGGGTGGCCTGGCACCAGTAACCTACTGCAGGGACTGGACTCATTTCTGCCAAAAGCCATTGGGTTTCAAGATTTGCTTCTGAGTCTCTGGGATCATGTCCATTAAGCAGTCCGATCAGGAACCAGAGAGACCATGCCTCCAATTATGTAGCTGAGCTGGAGGTAGTTTGTGGCTGTGTCTCCAACATACCTCAATTTTGGCCATTCCTTTCTTGGTAAACTTTGCCCCAAGTTTTTGGGGTCTGGCCAAAGGCACAGCAGCAATTTTGGAGTATCTGGAAGTCTGAAGGCACCATCAGGCTGCTCATGCACTCACCTTACAGGTACAGATTGACTTGCTGGTGGCACCATACTCCCTGTCCATATCTTTCTGACTTATGTCACTTAGCATGATAATTTCCATGTAGTACCACTTGTATGCAAATTTCATGACTTCCTCTTTTCTAACAGCTGCATAGTATTCCATTGTGTAGATGTACCAGAGTATCTCTAACCAGTCATTTGTTCTTGGGCACTAGGGTTTTTTCCAGATTTTTTACTATTGTGAGTAGTGCAGCAATGAATATAGAAGTGCAGATGTCATTTCTGGTATACTTTTTTGCCTCTCTGGGATATATTCCCAGGAGTGGTATTGCTTGGTCAAATAGGAACTCAATTTCTAGGGTTTTTTTTTTTTTTTTTTTTTTTACTTTTGAATGAGTGTTTTTATGTCCTGGAGGTAGATGCACAAAAGAATCCTCTCTTTTTTTTTTTTTTTTTTTTTTTTTTTTTTTTTTTTTTTTTTTGCTTTTTGGGTCACACCCAGCGATGCACAGGGATTACTCCTGGCTCTGCACTCAGGAGTTACTCCCGGCGGTGCTCAGGGGACCATATGGGATGCTGGGATTCGAACACGGGTCGGCCGCATGCAAGGCAAACGCCCTACCCACTGTTCATCGCTCCAGCCCCATCATTTTTTTAAGGAACAAAATAGGTTGTGAAAATTCATACAAAGATATTCGAGTACTTGTCAAAACCATACATTTATGTGTAACAGCCTTTTTCCAAAGCAGATGCTGGGTTTTATTTTTTTTTTTTAATAGTGAGACATCATGAGATACAGTTACAGACTTACACATTTTTGTGCTTGGGTTTCAATTATACAATGATCAAATACCCATCCCTCCACCAGTGCCCATTTCCCACACCACGGATCCCCGCATCCCTCCCACCTCCCAGCCCCCCCATCCCACCCTGCCTCTGTGGCAGGGCATTCCCTTTTGTTCTCTCTCTCTTCTTGGGTGTTGCGGTTTGCAAAAGAGGCATTTAGTGGCAATCATGTTTGGTCTATAGTCTACTTTCAGCATGCTCCTTCCACCCTGGGAGGATCCTCCCAACCCCCTTTATTTGGTGCTCCCTTCTCTATCTGAGCTGCCTTTTCCCCTAGCATGTGTGGTTGGCCTCCAAGCCATGGAACAAACATCCTGGTACTAATCCCGGCCACTCTTGGGTGTTAGTCTCCTATTTTGTTACTTTATGTTCCCTAGATGAATGCAATCTTTCTATGTCTATCCCTCTCTTTCTGACTCATTTCTCTTGGCATGATACTTTCCATGTAGTACCACCTGTATGTAAATTTCCTGACTTCATCTTTTCTAACAGCTACATGGTACTCCATTGTGTAGATGCACCAAAGTTTCATTAACCAGTCATCTTTTCGCCTTATAGCTATTTTGAGGTCTTTTCCCAGTGTTGTTGCCTGTACGATTTCTGTTCCTCATCTTGAAGCTCACTAATTTTTTCTTCAGCTGTAGTCATTCTACTGCTGAGGGCACCCGCTGAGTTTTTAATTTCATCTACCGAATCCTTTATTTGTGACAGTTCTTTTTGTAGTTTTCTTATTTCTGCTCTCATTTCTTCCTGTATTTTCTCAGCTATCTGTTCCACAATTTCTTTCATTTCTTCCTTAAATTTTCTGTATGTCTGCTCCATTGATTCTTTGAATTCCTTGAACATCCTCAGCATTTCATCTCGGAATTCTTTATTGGAGAGATCATATTTATGGGTAACCTCTGTTGAGGATTAGGGACTCTTTCCTTCTCCCTCTTCTCATAGTGGAGATTTGCACTGTTTCCTCATGCTGTTGTGGTTCTGTAGAGGTAAAATATTCAAGTTCACTAGCACTGTTCCCTCTTATTGCGGGAAAGGATTCTAAATAAGGTCAGTCGATAGTGATCACCCTTCTCCCCTTCTAGAATATGTCCTTCCTCTCAGACATTATTCTGTGCTTTATGATAGGCATTGAGTGAAGCGCTGCAGGAGGTGCTCTTTTATATTGGGCTTGTACAGCTTCTTGGGTACACTGGTCTTTTGTTGGAATGGAAGTAGGCTGGTGGATTATTGTCGTATTGTGTTTCAGGTGTCCAGGACATTTTCCACAGTATTAGGTGATAAAGGTTGGGATGTGAGTCAAGAGTGCTAGGAGTGGGAAATATAACTGCGACTGCCAGCCTCACAAAAGTACACACTCACTTTTGAGGAGGCCATGCCCCCTACCATGGAGGCCACATCCCCAGCTACTCTAGTCCACAGACCTGTTTGGAGGGGCAGCGACTAGTTGGTTTGGCCATTCACTGCGGAAGTGGAGGCACTTGTCCCACGCCTGGTCCCAGCAGCTGGTGTTGAGGGGCGTTGGTCTTTGTGGGGATGCGGGTGCCCAGGAGCAGGTACAAACCTGTTGGGAGGGGCGGTGACTATTTGGGCTGGCACTGGCTGCGGAAGTGGAGGAAGGTGCCCCCAGGCCAGGATCGCAGAGGCTGGTGTTGAGAGTTGCGGGTCTTTGTGGGCTGTAGTCATTATTTTTAAGGTCCACATCCAGCTGCGCTCAGGGGTTACCCCTAGATCTGCTCTCAGGAATCACTTCTGATGGTAGTGCTTGGGGGGCTGTGGGGTGTCAGGTATCAAACCCAGGTCAACCGTATGCAAGGTCTGTGGTTGATTTTGATAAGGAACATTAGCATTGAATCTCACTTTATTGCAATATTATTCCTCAAAAAGAAATGATGTTCTCTTTAGTGCACCTGTATATGTGTTAGAATACACTCATGAGTTTGAGATGGTGCCTGGAAGGGCCGTGGCCTGCTCTGGTGGGCACTCCACTCAGTTGCCCCAAGTTCGAACCCTAGCACTGCTGGGTCAGCCCCTCTGTCCAGTTTTTTGTTTGTTTGTTTTGGGTTTTATTTTTCTTTTTGGGTCACCCAGCGATGTTTAGCGGTTACTCCTGGCATTGCACTCAGGTGCACTGGCAGTGCTCTGGGGACCATATGGGATGCTGGGGATTGAACCAGAGTTGGCCGTGTGCAACGTAAATGCCCTACCTGCTGTGCTATCGCTCCAGACTCTCCCGGGGTTTTTTATGGGAATTTTTTTTATTTCTTAGTCCATAAAGCCCCAAATACTATCTGCCTTCTTTAAAAAATTTTTTTCCAACCTCAGACAGAAAATTGTGTCTCAGAACAAGCCATTTGTGGTTTTCGTTATTTTTGTTATTGTTTGTTACTAGGAGCAAATCGTTCCTCACAGCAGGAAAACTCGAGTAGAGAGTACATTGCCATTTATAGAAATTCTTGGTCCTTATTCTTTTTTGTGAAGAGCAGAGGGTGTACAGCCACAGCCTGCGGTCTCAGGGGCTATTCCCCAATCCTGCATCTCGGTACAGAGCGGGGTGCCCCTGGTGCTCAAGGGTTCACCCCAGACCCCCTGCAGCTTGAGCCTTTGAGCTCTCTGGCCAGTGGCCCTTACTCTGCTTTCCTTGTCATTTATTTGGGACTATCCCGAGGAAAGTGTCTCTTGATTCTTTCTAGATGTGACCTGGGAAAGGACACACGTACACCAACCTTCCTTACGGCTGTCATGTGTATTTGTCTGAGTACAAAACAAACTGGTTCTGTTGGCTAACTTTACCCAAAGGCTGAACGTGTGTTAGAATATATTTGGCAAGATTTTTCTAAGTCGTACTTGGCTGAAAACCTGTATTACAATATTATTGATGGCAAGTTTGTTTTCCAATGTTATAAGAAAAGTAGAGTTCTGCCTATTGAAGTGGATCGCTTGTAATGCTTCTTGGTTGTCACTGCTTTGTGAAAAAAATTGATGTTAAAGTAGAAAAAGGGGGAAAATTATCTGTGCCCTGCTAAAAATATCTAAAGAAACATTTGGATATCTCTTTCTCCTGCTCTACCAAGAAGTGATGATGTTTTTTCTGTTTAGGAAAATTTGAGAATGGCATTGCAGAAGGAATGGTGGACCCCAGACTGAACCCCGTCTCTGCCTTCCGGCTTTCTGTTATTCACAATTCTGCTGTTTGGGCCATTCTTAATGAGGTAAATACAGAATCAGTAGGAAAGATGACTGCGTTTCCATTACTCATTGATTTGTTGTTTAAGGCTTTTTTGGAGTTGAGATTGTCTTATGTTACTTTTCACTCTTTTGTATTTCAGATTCATATTAAAAAAGTCGCCAACTGATCATGTCCTAAGGAACCAACTCATTTTCTTTCTGTGAATCTGTTAAAGATAGCTTCAGCATGTACCTTTTAAAGAAACTTGAACACTACCTCTGGGAAATCTACTGTAGATGATTGTCATTTCCACTCGGAAAGAGAATCACCCGTGATAATTGTATTCATTTGGAATTAAGCTGTCCTTCAATTTTAACTTGACGCAAACATTTTACAGTTACGACAGCCTGTTAATATGACTTGTACTATTTTGGTATTATACTAATACCTAAGAGTTGTACATATTTTACATTCCTTAAATTTGAGAATAATTAATGTTAAATACATTTTATGAAGGGGGTACTTTTGAAGTTCATTTATTTTACTATTATAGACCCTCTTTTATAGATTATCAGGGATTATATATATATATATACATTTAAATGTTGTGGAGTTAATTTATTAGAAACTTAAGAAGTACATATTTTTGTGCAGTAAATTTTTCAATTGAGACTTTTTTTGAAAACCAATTACCTTGCTTTTTAAGTTCTTTCTATATTTTTCTTTGGAATTGCAATCATAACAAATTAATGCCATTTTTTTCAAGTGCACTGCCATTTGAGAATGATTCTAGATTGATTTCCTAACTAAAGTACTTTTATATTAACATTGATTCTGAACAAACTATTTTCAGATGCGTTTGTCATTCCTTAAAGTCAAGATTTTAAAGACCAATGTCCTACTCAAGGGTTAGTTTACTATACTGTTCACCACATAGTCACAAAAAGTCATTCTGATAAATCCTAAGTGTAACGTGATACATTCAGCCCAAATAACAATAGACTCATTACTTTCCCTCTTCCGTGAAAGATGGCAAACCCTTCTTTCCTTTATTTTGTTCACTATCCTTTTATATCTACACTCATTTTATAAGTTCTGATGAAATGTTTTCTAGATTTTATTGTATGACCATGATTGTTTCAATATAAAAGGAAAAAATACTGTTGTTTTTTTTTTTTTGGTGGAAATGTTATAGTTGAAGTGAAGGAAAGCAAGGCCAGGTAATCTAGTTACTTTGGTCATTTTAAATCACATCAAGAAGGTGTCCAGTCCATCGAGGTGATGGGTAGCTGGGTGGGAGACAGTCAGGGTGCCAGGCAGCCAGTCAGGAGAGACACTCGGGCACAGATGGTACTTGTCCTACCTGAGGCTCACTCGGTTCAGGTCCAGCCTCCTGAGCCCTGCCAGATGTGATCACTGAGCACAGGAACCAGAGGAATCCCCGAGCACCGCCAAGTTTGGCCCCAAAACACTGAAGGAAGCCCCCGGCTGGGCAGCTCCATCATAGACCCACACTCGCACTGGGCACCTGGCAGGTTCCGACCCACGTGCATGTGACGACCATCGGAGAGCTAGGAAGAGCCGAGGGGAGAGGGAGACTCTGGCCTTCAGCCCAGCAGGGGGACACCAGTGACAGCGTCCAAACAGGAACGCGGACACTGTAGAGAACAATGTAGGGACTGCACAAGGTCATCGTATGCTGCAGGCAGATAGATGGTGTAGGGACAGGACCAGAATGTGGACTGAGCGTCAGGGAACAGAATGGTGATGGCATTCGCTGGTAAAGAGAAGGGCCCAAATATGGGGTGTGGACCTAGAATCCCTTTAGTTTAGCTGTCCAGCCACTCCATAAGCACCTGGAGTTTTGTATGCAAATCTTTCATACAACACTCAAGAACCCATGAGCTCAGAAATAAGTCCACTTTTGCAGAAACAAAAGAGATTGTAACAGTTTCATTCTGTTGCATTGTGAACTTATAAGCAAATTCATAGTCTAAAGACTTCATAAAACTTCATAGTCTAAAAGAGTATTCATTACTCTCAAGCATGCAATTTCAAATGATACTACAGCTGTAAGCAAAATACCATCCGTGGCAATCAGTGATTAACTTTTATTACATATTTTACTTAAAGCTTTATGAATCATCCCCATGAGTTTCCAGCTAATCAGCATGATGGTTTGAGAGCTTTCAAAGGTGGTGGAGGGATGCACATAGGAGGTTCCAGACCTTGAAGTGCTTCAGCTAGTTACCTAGTGTGCTGGTAGCAAACAGCTTCTAAATCATTTTACAGGCAGAATAATGAAGTGAAAAAAGTTAAGGAAAATTGAGCGCATAGCTGTTTCTATTTTCCCATAATCGTTTTTGGTTAATTTTCTTAATCAAAAAATTATGTGTTGATTTTCTGTCATGCACCTGTGAAACATGTTATAAAGCAATGTTAAATTAATTAAAAATTTCAAATGTTTCCAGTAATAACTTTTATGTCTTAAGTCCAGTTGAAATTTTTTATTGGGGTTTTGGAATTAAAGAAATATTTTCTTTAATTTACTTTTTGTTTTGTTTTTTTGGGTTTTCTGTTTTGATTGGGGTCACATCTGGCGTTATCAGTAACCCCCTCCCAGCTGAGCTGGAGGCTCCCTCTGGGGTGGTCCTGGTTGGAGCACAGCTCCTGCTCTCCGAGCTCTCCTCTCCTCTCCTCTTTACTTTTTATTTTCTTGTCAGTCTTGCCTGGCTCAGTACCTAGCAGTAGGTTCCATTCCTCAAGACCTGTCCTTTTAAAATGGGGCCAGCTGAGCTTGCTAGATCTTGGCTGAGAGTTGGTCCTGGGGGAGAGTGGGTGTGGGCGCAGACGCCCTTGTCTCTTGCTTCCTGCTGAGCTGATCGAAGGGAAAAAGCCCTTCACGGGAGGATGCTCGGGCTCTCATCACCTACTCTGCCGCTCCTCTCACGACGCCTCGTCCCCTCCTTCTGTTCCCACTCGCCTAGCCCTCTGCCCCTCCTCCTGTGATTTGTGCCAGTGCCTTTCCTGGCAGGTGCCCAGGAAATAGCTGGGGGGTGGGGTGGGACGGGGAACCAGCTTACACAGCTCTTGGTTTGTTGTTTGGGGGACCACACCCAGCAGTGCTCAGGAGCTTCTCCTGCATCTTTGCATAGGGGTTGCTCCTTGGGGTATCCAGGGAACCAGAGGTACCTGAGACTGAGCACATCTTTATCTTCATTCCCTCTCTTTTTGGCGACTCCCTTTACCTACCCTCCTTGCCCTTGCCACCCCTCACCCCTGCCACACGCGTGCATGCATGCACACTTGCACGCGCGCGCACGCACACACACACACACACACACACTCAGCAAACTCTAGTTTTTTATTGTTGGGTCTGTGAGTTGAAACAAATGAGCTCTCTTGGCCACATTTCAAGTTCCTGAGGATGAGTGTGTAACTCGGACTTCTGATCTCCCCCATCTCAGCAAGTGCTCAGGTAGTGTCACTATTAGCTAGTCCCTCTGGTTCCACGTTTGTAGACAATCAGAGGGAGTCATCTTTTCTCAAGCAAGGAATTCAAATTGCGGCAAGGAATCGAGTATTACAACAGTGGTTAGAGGAGGCGAAGATCCTCTGGCATGGAGAGGGAGTGGAGATCATTTGACCTGGAGAGGGCGCTGAAGTCCTGTTGGACACTTCGAGTATGATATGAAGCTTTTGGAGACCAGAATGGTGAATTCTGAGTGTAATGTAAAGGCAGGCATAGATTTTGTGTCAAAATAAATGGCAGTATCGGGGATAATTGGTTAAGATCCCATTTCTAGGATCCTAAGTTCTATGTTCTAAGTTTCTTCTTTACTATTGTATTGTACTGCTTATGTAGCCAAAACAACAGCGCGAGATGAGGTTATTGGAAAACTGAAAAAAAGTGAATGAATACAAGTGTATGTGTGTCATTGGCAAATGTGCAAAATAATTCAAGTGTCACAGATGTCTTTGAATGATGAATAGTTTTTCAAATCAGTGGTTGCACCAGTGAACAATTTTGTGTTATCCTAAAATCCTTTGACTTTTCCGGAAGCTTCTTAAGTCACTGTTATACGTCTCAGCAGTTCTGCCTTCCGAGTTTGGGTGTATTAAGAGCAGCGCGTTCAGAGGAATTGCCAGCAGCAGTGTGTGTTGGAAGTAGCTGAGACTTCGAGGATGACCCCTCGGTGACCTTGCATCTCACAGTCCCCCGTCGTGCAGGCAGAACCTGGGAACTGGATCCCTAATGCTGATGTGTTGTACAAGCAGAGGCTGGTCATGAGAGTCACCAATCTTGTGAGCACTTTAAAAGTGGAGCATTTTCTCTACATCATTAATCATCAGGGAGATGCAGATCAAAACCACAATGAGATACCATCTCACACCTCAGAGACTGGCCCACATTCAAAAGAACAAAGGCAACCGATGCTGGCGCGGATGTGGCGAGAAAGGGACACTCCTTCACTGTTGGTGGGAATGTCCACTGGTTCAGCCCTTCTGGAAAACAGTATGGACGATTCTCAAAAAATTAGAAATTGAGCTCCCATTTGACCCAGCAATACCACTCCTGGGAATATATCCCAGAGAGGCAAAAATGTATAGTCGAAGTGACATCTGCACTTGTTTGTTCATTGCAGCACTCTTTACAATAGCCAGAAACTGGAAGAAACCTGAATGCCCAAGAACAGATGACTGGTTAAAGAAACTTTGGTACATCTACACAATGGAGTACTATGTAGCTCTTAGAAAAGATGAAGTCATGAAATTTACATACAAGTGGTACAACATGGAAAGTATCATGCTAAGCGAAATGAGTCAGAAAGAGAGGGATAGACATAGAAAGATTGCATTCATCTGGGGGATATAAAGTAACAAAATATGAGATTAATACCCAAGAATAGCTGAGATCAGCACCAGGAGGATTACTCCATAGCTTAGTGGCCAGTCGGGCATTCTAGAGGAAAGGGCAGCTCAGACAGAGAAGGGAACACCAAATAAAGGGTGTTTGGAGGACCCTCCCAGGAGGGGAGATGCATGTCGAAAGTGGACTATGGACTGAACATGTTTGCCACTCAATGCCTCTTTTGCAGACCACAACACCCAAAAGGAGAGAGAGAACACAGGGGATTGCCCTGCCACAGAGGCAGGGGGGGATGGGGGTATGGGGGTGGGGGGGACATTATCCATGGTGGTGGAAAATGGGCACTGGTGGAGGGATGGGTATCTGATCATTGTATAATCAAACCCAAGCACAAAAAATTGTAAATCTACAACTGTACCTCATGGTGTTTCACTAATAAAAAAAAAAAGATAGTATCTAATACACAGAATTGTTATAGAGTCAGATGTAAGCACAATAAAGTTGCCTTCTGTTTGTTCCCTAAAAAAAAAAAAAGTGGAGCATTTTCTCAGGCTCAGGGTCGACGTCAGGGACTCCAGACAAGACTCAGGTACCATTACTGACTTCCAGGGGAAGAGGCCACAGGAAAGGCCCTGCAGACGGTCTTATACAGATAAACGGGGCCTCCCTGCATGGGGATGCAGCCATAGGAACTGCATCCAGCCAGCACCTGACGAGTGCGTGGAGCTCTCACCTCCAGCGGCTGAGTGCTACGGCTGCACCAATTCTGGGTCCCTGCGTTGTGGACCCCAATCAGAACTAGATTGGGCCTGCCCGGACTTCTGAACTGCAGAGCCAGGAGGTAAAGAATGAGGGTTGGTGTTAAGTGTATGAGTGAAGACTCACACTAGCAAAAAACACGTGAGTCTTCACCTGGCGCTTCTCTACTGGAGATCTCAGTCTTCTTGGAAATTTATTGGCAAAAATTCAGAGCAGCTTGTTTCACAAAGGAGTCCCTAGTGTTGGGCCAGAGGAGAACAAAGGTGAGGAAGTTTCTATCTAGAAGATATTACTTGATGCTGATTTATTTAAAACAGAACCTGTTTTAAATAAATGAAAACTAAAACTCTTTGTCTTTTGTCTTTATATTGAGGTCAGGTCAGGTCATCTACTCTGTTGGACTTAACTTTTCTTTAAACCGGAACTTAGCTACTTTGTCAAATCCTGGCCAATTTTTTGTAGTTTATATGAGAATTTGCCAAAATACCTCCGTCATTCCTAACTATTAATTGTGAATAAGAAAAGAAAGAGATTAAAGTCATCAAAAGGTTTAAAGTTTGAGTCGTAATCATTTTAGTAGTCTCAGGCAGCATTCTATAGCTGGAGCACCCCAGGATATTCCATGGGACTAGAAGTGAAGATTAAAAAGGGAGTTACAGCATGACACAAGGAGGTCCATTGGTAACACAGGGTGCCACAGTCAGACACTGGCCTGAGGGAGCATGGACACCTGATTTCTGTCAGAGAAGGAAGCTTTCCAAGCTGTGTGTCTGTGTGTATTGTGTGAAAATTAATTTAGCTTTGCAAGTTGTGAGGTTTTAAATTATTTTAATATATTCCAAGATAACAAGGATGCTTACTGCTTTATTTCTTGAGTGCATGTGATCATACAAGGTCAGAAAGACAACAGAGTAGTCTGGAAAGAGCAATGGCTTCACTGTCGCTCCCCCCACAGCTCTGTGTGAGACACAGCTCTTCCCCTCTGAGAGACACATAGACTTTTGAGTGGCTGGCTCAGAGAGCGTTCAAGAAAGCGAAATGACTGTTAAATGGGAAGCACTTGTGTTAGCCGTCATTCTCACTGTGTCAGAATTTCAGTTAAAAAATGTAAATAAAGGTGTGAAATGTGTTCTGAAATAAGGATTGTAGTGGGAAGTGTTTTTGTCTATTTGATTCTTCAGAAAGGCTGTTTTATATGCTTGTTTTGTGCTACTAGTAATCCACAAATTTCCCTGGACTCAAAAGCCTCTTTTGGCACTTGCATTTGATTAGCATCCATTATTTATGTGAAATGTCCACTGTTTTTCAAATTGAGTGAAATTTTTTTTTTGCAGACTGCACTATCACTGTCACTGCCTGAGAGACACTGCCAAGATTTGCTGACCCTAGTCATTTTTTAAGACACGGAGAGTAGGTGACTAAATGTATTAATTTGTTTCATGGATGACGTGAAACGAGATCTCTCTCTGAGAGCACTGTCCTGGGTAGACTAGTCTGTCTCCCCTTCAGAGACGCTTCTGAGACCCCAAGGAGAAACCAACGGGGAGAAACCTTCTCCAACTCGTGTTGACGTTATTCTCTCTTCTTACATATTTATGCTTCCTTTCCCATGTTTTCATCAGTTCAGTGGTTGAAGACTATAGTAATATTTTCAGTATGTGTTGGATTCTTTTAAGGGAATGTCACCTTTCAAATTTGCTGCTATCATTGAAAATCGAATAATCAGTCCTGTTAACTGTGCCTTTCATCACTGTTTCTCTGTCCCACCATTATATGTTCTTGAAATAAAGAAATTTAAAAACATGCCATATTCTTGTTTGTTTTCACACGGGTTGTTTTGCCTTGGGGTGGGGGAGGGCTGTCAGGGATCCAACTCTGTGCTTCACATTCGAGAACAGCTGAGCTGCACCCTAAGC